CTGTGTGATGTTACATAAAATCATGTTTAGTGTGACAAGCAGCTAGTTCTTGAGTCAAAACAGTTGTTTATGATAGTCAGTGGTGAGTGATTTAATAAAAAGGCATACATGTTTTTAAAAGTGCTCTGTGGAGTTTTGACCACTGTGGAGCAGGAAGTGAGGCTCTGTTTTGTTTGCTCATTAGCATGTGGGGGACAAATCGTTTACACTTTTAGGTGAATACGCAGAAACGCACCTGCAGGAACAGGGAGAAGAAAACTGCAAGCTTGCAAACATGGATGTTGAAAATACAGGTTTAAAATCTACAAATGAAAAATCCAGCCTTGCAATTGGTATATGAGGAAGGGGATGAATTTAAGGTCTATGCACAGAGATAGACAATGTGTTTTGGTGAATAATACCAAAAGTATTTAAAATATATTTTACTGTTAAAGGTGGGGTAGGTAATTCACTTCAGAAACACTTTTTGTTATATTCCATGGAATGCTCTTAACATCCCGATAGCAATGAATATATTAAATGCTTTGGCAATAAATACATAAAAATATTTCATCTTTGGAAGCCGTGGCGACCAGTTATTTTAGCCGGCCCGGCTAAAATAACTGGATAGCCTACCTGCCTGTCAGCCTTCCATCTCGTGCACAAACTTATCTCGTGCCCTCATTGGTCATGTGCGCGTTCGTGTGTGTTGGAGGAGGGGCTCTGTAAGGAAGTCTGAAGGAAGGGGCAGATTTTTTTCAGCTGCGTACTTTCAAATTCTAGCGCACTCGAGCTGGTTTCTCCATTCTTACCTACCCTACCTTTAGGCTTTAGAGAACAGGGAAGGAAATATAAGGGCTGAGGACACATTTATTTTCAATAAAATCGCAGGGAATATTGAAAGAAGAACATCACCATATTATTATATTAAAATTGTATTATGTTATTAAATATAATGTCAGTAAGTGGGTTTTTTGGAGCCATCGTCCACAACCAAGATATCTATAGTAAAATGATATGAAACAGAGAAAGGAAGCAAACACTCACGATTGGTAACCAAAAAACAATAATCTTTCAGCAACAGAACAAAATGATTAAGAACTGTCAGACTAAGAACTCTTGCTGTAAATTAATTAACTTTCAAATGAACATTTAGCAGTTTTTAGCCTTTTCAATTAAAGAGACAGCATATTTTTTTGTCTAATGAGCCCTTATTAAACTTTTCAAGAGAAGCCTCCCTGGATACTGGCCTCTCCTGCTTTATTCAAATACTTAACCTATTTCAGACTTCATTATGTTTTTTCTTAATAATTTTTCATTATACTAGCAAGCCTCAATTAGAGTATGTTTTCTGATTTCATTAAGCAGTAACCATGACTGCAGCAGCACACATACCTGTCTCAAATGTTCCTCGGCCTGCTTGTCGCTCTCCTTCACGCAGACTCGCTTCCAGTTGAGTTTCGCCGCCTCGAGGCACTCGCCAGGGACAGTTGGGTCATTGAAGGTGAAAAAGATGGCGTTGTGGGGCCGACGAGCTCGATTCAAACCGATGAAGTTGCTCTTGTTCATGGGCTGGCTGTGAACAGAAAGGAGAAGAAAAAGTGTGAACATTTTCCAGATACGCTGCATTAGCACAGTGACATTGAAAATTAAGAATGTCCAATATTGTTGTTTACAGAGGACAAATAAGGTTACATTATGTTTTTCCCTTACGCTATATTTTGATTGACGTCAGGCCGGAAATAATAATCCACTGGGGTGTCGAGGCGGGAAAAGCTGGCCGGGGGAATAAACAGGGGAATGGGCTTCTCAAAGAAATCTTGATTCTCGGGTTTGCGCAGGATGATTTTATCGTACAAAGAAGTGTCTTTTCCACCTTCTGAATTAACAGCGAGGCACTGGAAGTCTGCCATCCCTGCACAAAAACAAATGTAATCAGTCAAGAAAATATCTCACATTAGTGAAAGGGGAAAACACTTCTCTACACAATAAGGAGGTTAAATTAAACCTTGGAATTTGTATGTTGTTGCAATGACTCCCAGGATATCCATGTGGATCTCAACGTCTTTGGGGTCCTTCTTTCGCACCCGACGCCGCACTCTGAGCACCAGGTTGCTCGATGGGTAGCGGTTTCCACACAGGGAGTGACAGAAAGGATCCTGAGGTCGGAAACGCAGCTCAAGACGCCTGTTTGGGTGAGCGAAGGTCTGTGGGATTCACAGGGAATGCAGACAGGTATCAGATTAATTAAGTTTAGATACTGCGCTGATGATAAACATAAGCATTAATGTCTACCGTTATGTACTCACAAAACAGCCACTTGACAGAAAATCTGTGTAACCAACCATGAAGGCCCTCATCATGTCAGGTGATAGTGAACTTTAGTTGTGCATGTTCGTGTACCAAGTTCAAACTGTTCTGCCTTTGAAGAATGGCTGTCAGTTCACTAGAATTTGAAAATGCAATCAACCTTACGTAAATTAGTATTTTAAGATTACATTTTAATTGTGTCTTTCTAATGCTTCCATAGATTAAAGCTAGTCAAACGTCATTTGAAATGTAGCACTGTGGCTAACTATGAAGCTATGCTTTTTTAAATCATATAGGCAGGGTATATAACACCAATTACTAAATAATATAATGCTTCGCTACAGTATGCAGTTATATCAGTATGATATTTGTAACATACGTCATAAGTGAGGGCATTTGAATACAGTATAATGGACAGTATACAAGTGAACTGGAACGGTTTGTAGGACTGTTTTAGGACTCCAGGACTTAAGAGCAACAGCATTGTGTCCCAGTGACGGCCAGCTTACTTTGGACACGGCTCTTTCCCCCCCGAGAGTCTCCAGCATCCTGTCCGCGCTGCTGACCACCGCCGGGTACTCCACACACACCAGCCTCTGGTCCTGCAGCTCCACGCTGGACGAGCTGCCGGGGACAGCCTCCTCAGCCTGCGGGGACAGAGTGAGCTCCTTCAAGATGAAGTCCAGCTTCAGCTCCTTGTTCTCCGACATGCTGGATGATTTAGTTGGGATATTCACGCAGACACATTAACAAACATGTAGTTAAACCATAAACTAGAAGTAAGAACGCGCGCACAATTAATTACAGCAGTGTGTGAGTGTGTGTCCATGTTCAAAATAACACCGTGCGGAAACAAAGTTCAGCTAAGGTTGGTTCCGCAGGCGTACGTCCCCTATTGTAGATTGGGTTTCTCTGTTTAATAAATGCAGGGAATTTACCACTCATTTTAATATGTATATAATAAAAATGTAAACAAAGTGATGTCGACATTTACCTTGATTTTTTTTATTCGACCATTAAATGTGGCCATTACCGATACTATAAATTATCCATATATACTGTATGTAAACAATTTGGAAACATATTATCATTAAACGCAACAGATATGTATTTAAATGCTGAGATTCAACTCACATACCAAAAAGACTGATGTAGAATCATATATGATTTAATTACATTTTGTAGTTTTTTTACTTGATATATATTATTAATTTGATATTGTTAAATTATGTTTTTAAATTATGCAAAGACGTTATCACATTTGTACGTCACCCTATACTCGCACCTTTTTTGTAATCAAATAAGTAAAAACTTGCTGTGTGTTACATACGGTGTAACACACAACATTGTTACATTACAGGTAAACCTGTAACAATGAACTCAATGCGTACATTTGGCCACGAGATGGCGCTGTAAAACCAAAGAAAATATATGATGGAGAAAACCCTCAGGCAGTGAGAATACCATGATGCCTCCATCAAAATTAAACAACTCAAGTAACTGAATTACTTTTTTTGAATACTCTGTGTCCACTTGAATGATCTGTCTTATTCCTATTATTTTATATTGAAGATCAAATATTTACACAGCCATTTTATTTAATCTTTGTATTATCAGAAAGAGACACTCTTTTGTGACCTTTGTAAAGAGGTCCCTCCCAGAAACTATCAGCAGACAAGAAGAGAAGAAGACTTTGAAGAAAAACTGTTTTGTTTACCAAGTGATAAAAGATGTTGTTATAAAGGTGACTTTAATGTGAGGTGACACTGTGTTTACTTAGATTCTAGTTTGTCTTCTTCTCTTGTGCCTTTAAGGGAGTACAACGCTTAACATTGTTTTCTTAACCAACTCATATTTGTTTTTTCATGTTTTTATCTTCGTGTTCTTGAGTGGGCCATTTTGGTGATGACTGCTGGAATGGTGCATTCATGTGCAGTTGTAGGGATTGGGAAAATAACTTCCCTTATTGAAGGCCAGCTAATGTGATGTTGTTTTTGGTGATGGAACTATCGAGTTATCAGCCTGTAAGTTAAGACAGGTCTGGAACATGTTTCACATTAGCTTAAAGTTGTAAAGCAGTGAGTCCTCCAAAAAATACAAAGTTATCAAATTCACATTGTGTTTTTCCAACATGTGAAACACACACACGTACCACAAACAAATCCATGCATCTCTTCAATATGCTGATGGGTCACCTGCTGCTTGTAAATAAAATATGGCAGATTTGGAGTTCAATTGAAAAGTTATTTATTTTGTATTGTGAAAATGCTAACTGTTTCCCTTTGCATCAATTACTAACCCCCTGAATTCCTGAAGAAGAAGAAATGACTCCACAATGAAAACCGTAATAAATGGAAGTCAATTAAGGTGGTATTTAACAATTGTTAAACAGTAGAGGGATGAAACCCTCTTTTAATGGTCACACATGCAGAGCACACAGCACACACAGTGAAATGTGTTCTCTGCTTTTAACCCATCCTAGTACCAGGAGTCTAGTACTAGGAGCAGTGGGCAGCTATTGTACAGCGCCCGGGGAGCAATGGGAGTGAGGGGGGAAGGGGGGTGTCTGGTGCCTTGCTCAAGGGCACCACGGCAGGGCAGGAGGTGAACTGAGACCTCTCCAAGTAGCAGTCCACACTCCATATTTTAGGTCTGGTCGGGGACTTGAACCGGCGACCCTACAGCTCACAGTCCAAGCCCCTACTGACTGAGCCACTGCCGGACACACCAATGTAAGACTGCTTACATAAAAATAAATTGTGAATATTTAAGTTTAGCATAAATGCTACATGAGTTGTGGGACAGTTAAAGAAGTTTGAACTTTTTAGTTTTTTAAAACATAGCCGATACTTAGTTCAAATCATTAACATTTTAAATGTTTTGGAAATCATTTTGTTCAACATAGAGGCATGACAGCAATACAAAGTATTTGTTTAAATATGAGTCACCCATCTGATTCTGTGTAAGATTATTTTTTGGACTGCTCACATTTGCACAGGTGTAATCAATAATGTTAACGATGGCTCTCTGATTGACCTACTCAGCTGATTATAGAGAAGCCATCGTTAGCATTATCAGTGACACCTGTGCTTGCTCTGCTATGACAAGGTAAAAATACCTGCAGTGAAAAGGGCTCATGGCCTTATATTAGCTAGAAAACTTCAACAACACTGGACAAGAACTAATGATGGCTGAAATATCTGGCAGTTACCCTTCATCTTTGATAGAAACAAGTTTGCTCTGAAATATAAACTAGAAGACTCCCTTCATTGGTTTTCTTGATTAAGTCTACCAATTCTGACGAAAACACTGTTAACTATGATTGCTTTGTTGGTTTGTTTATCAGCAGGACCAGGAAAAACTACCGAACCCATTTTCATGTAACTTGAAAGATGGGTGTAGCATGGGCCAATGAAGAACCCATAAAATGTTGAAGCATGTCCGAACGAATTTGAATCAACTTGAGCACTATCAGAGCTTCAATAAACACATAAATGGTGACGTCCAGCCTGGCTTATCACACTGTGAAGCTCAGTGTTCTGTGGTATGGATATAAGGAGGAGGGGACAAAAGACTGACAATCTGTTGTGTTCTGTGGTAAGGATTTCAACTTTTTTTTTCTGTCTCTTCTCTAGGGGGCCCTCGTCCATCGAACAGTGTTCCAGCTCTGGGTGCTATCTCAGTCAAAGGCCTGTCCACTCCTCCCTGCACACAGCAGGCCTGTTCCAGCCGTTACAGTGTGGGGAGGCCATGATAAGGTTATCAGACGGTTACTCTGAAAGAGCCTGCTGCCTTCAGATTTCCCCCTTCTGACACTCACTCTGACTTCTCACTCAGCGTTTCCCCTCTCCTGTCATCCCTTCTCTCAGCTTCCGGACATCCAACGTTTCTGACTTGGGTTTGCAGCTGGCTGTATGTTAGTCTGAAAGACTTTCTGTATGCATGACAATATTTGAGTATGTGGAGTATGCATTAAGACACACCTATAGGGCCTTGTCATCTTCTGTATGCAAAATCCAAGATTATTATAGTTAATTGCTTGCGCTGCACTTTTGTAAGTCATCCGTAGTTTTCATGTTTTATATATGAGCACACCTTTCATACCATGCTGTTTTTTAGATGCTACTCTTAAATTGCCAATGTCTAATTTTGATCCATTTCACTGGTTAAAAAATATTCTACACCATGATAATTAAAGAGGCCTGGAAATGAAAAGATCAACATGTTAACTAGCTTAAATATTATTTGTCCCCTTTTATCCTGTCATGAACCTTCAGATTTAACCATTGTAGTGGACGTTATCCCTAGGTTTGGAAACACTGCATGGTATGATGCTTCGTTTAAACCTTCCCCATGAAATGTGTTGCTAAAATCAAAGATTTTCTTTTCAGATTAATATTCATTACAAATCAGTATCTAGTAGTCAAATTTGTATGGCATGGTTTGCCGTTATGAAACACTTCTGGCAGTGGCAGGGAAACATAGGGCAGAGTTAGGTGTATGGTTCCTGTACACATGGCTTCCATCCAAGCCAGTATCAGCACTCACCACCGCTGACATATTTTAAAGGCGTGACGATTGATTTATCTTTTGCAGGAAATACAAATGCATTTTGTGAGGCATATATTTAAATGGAGTTTTAATAAAGAGTCCACAAAGAGTCTGAAGTTCATTAAACATCAACATTTACAAACTGAGCTAATTTTTAAACGGTTTCCGAGACCTGTAACCACATCAAGGGATGTTCATGAGCATTTTCTAAATTGGCATGTTCTTTTTTTCTATTTCCTGTATTTTGAAGTGTTTGGTCTCTTCTGCTATTGATAACAGGCTTAAAGTCAACATTTTGAATTGCCTACTTGTGAAATAGATAATTAAATCCCAGGAACCACAGAAAACTTTTTTCCCCGTCACTCTTACGTCTCTTTGTAGGAGTGGCCTTCGGTGCGTCATCACTGCACTTATCAATGGGAGGCCAGGACGTTCAGCCTGGACCACAACACAGTGCCACTGGCAATCAAATAGTATCTCACCCACACACACACAGGATGTGATCATACTGCATCTTCCTGTGTTCAGTCACACGGAGGAAATCTGCTGACAGTTTCTTTTTCTATTTGGATTCTGTCAGCGTGATGGATCACTGGCATGTCATTCAACACTGAGTTTAAAAAGACAAGGAATAGCTTACTGTAGTTGTGTATAAGGACTTAAGGGCCAACTTTTCCTTGATACTTGTAGATCTTATTAATAAACTGTGTATTTTATGGTTCAAACACAAAATATCTAATATGTTTTCTATGGGTTAACATATGCTCCAAGTCCTTACACTCTTTACTCAATATTTTGATGTGTAATATTTTGGAAATAACTTTCAAATGTGTGATTTTGTTTACTTAATACTATTGTTTTTTGGTTGTGTGTGTATCTGTCCGTTCGTCCAGAGCTAATCTCGTATACTTCTGGATCTATCAGTCTAATATGTCGGTGTACATGTATGACTTTATGCTCTCATGGGTGTGGTCATTCACACTTTTTGAAAAACCTATGTCATCGGCTGTTTCATACCAGAATTGACTGCTTACCCCTCGCTCCTCTTAACCGTTAGGTTAGGGCAGCAAGTCCTCCCCATTACTTCAGGAGCAAAAAGTATTAGTGGCAATTGGTCGGCTAAAAACATGCCTAACCTACCAGTTTGGCCTTTTTCGTGGCTCGAAACTGTCATCCATAGATAATTGTAGTTTTGTTTTGAACCAGTGAAACTGCCAATTAATTCCATCCAGATATGTTATGATGAAAATCCCGGTTTTTGTAATATTGCCGCCATTTTGACGGTACGGGAGCCATTTGTGTGAGATACAACTCTTCATTGTTACGAAGGGAGACACACTTGGCTGAGATATTATTACATCTAATATTTCTATTCTTTATAAAAGGTACAATCAGTTTTGAAATGTATCATTTGTGTCACAGGTGAAAGCTCTATAAACAGCAGCTCTAGGTAGTCTGGTCCTGTTTTTAGAAAATATGATAAGTAACACCTCTTATACAGATTTGTAAGCCTACATAATTGCAGCTTTACCTTTCCTGGCCACCGTACACATCCCTGTGCTGCTGTAACACCTGCATAATTAGATGTATTTTATTTCAAAATAAAAGACCAACACATGACAAATTCAACTTTTAAAGCGTCTCGTACTGGATAAAGTTACCTTTAAAGTTTAATTCAGGGGTTTTGACATATATTCCTAAATATGAATAGTCAAAGTAACTGGTTCATTGGGTTCAACACTCATGAACCACTTGGTCTTACATTTTAAATTAACATTAAACTATCTTTTAAATTAACATTATTAAATAACCTGATGTTATGGAAAGCACTTGACATGCTGCTCTGTCAAATTCACCCTTAAAGTAGAGGAACAGTTTGTGTTAGTGATAATACAACTTGTAAGTCAAACATCCTGAGCTGCTTTTACAGCCAACACAGAATCAGATTAAATGTAGAAAAAGGAGGAACAAATCTGGGTCCTACAACTGTAAAAGTGATTTTTTTTAGGGGGGGATGTGCTTTTCCAAACATAGCAGTTGATGTTGACTGTGTCCTCGATGCCTCAGGCTCTCCTGCCATCCTGCAGTGTTTCCACACCACAGCAGCAGCCAGGGTTCATTTGCATGCTCATTTGCAAGACAAATTTTGAGCTGTGTGATCTATCTGTTCATGTATGTGAGATACAGAGGGACAGAACTGCATTTGGACTGGGGTTTGTTAGTTTTTGAGCCACAGTGCTGATGTTTGAGTCTTGATTTGTTCATTTGTTGGCTGTTGGATGGAACAGCGTTGGTTTTTAGTGCTAAGGCTCCACTGTACTGGCAGCAACTTGAAGAAATGACTTCTGTCACACATTTCATGTTACTTGTTAGACGCTTTTATCCAAAGCGACTTACATACTCAATACTGTGGGCAATCCCCACAGGAGCAATTTGGGGTGAAGTGTCTTGCCCAGGGACACAACGACATGCTGACTGCAGTGGGGTTTGAACCTGTGACCCCCTGATCCCATCACCAAGGCTCTATCCACTGTGCCACACTGCAAACATACTATAAATTCAATATATTGAATGCACTTTTTCATGCTGAGTACTGAATTTCAGAAACGTATGTTTTACTAGTGGTGCTCTGTGAGAGGTGAACAGTTAGAAAGAGTAAATTTGCAAGTTTCACGATACCGAACGCTTCAGGGAACACATATGCAAATGAACAAAAGTTTAGATAACCACATAAAAAGTTCCTGCACAGTCTTCATCTGCTTTTCTCTCAGACATCTCTGTTACAAAGCAAACATTCTCCACTTTAAGCTTTTCACAACCAAACAATTGTACACTTGTGTTACAGGTGACCTCTCCACACTATTTTCACTTTTTCCCGTTTCCCCCCAGGCTTGGCTCCTCCCCTTTCAGGAACTTCATGTCCTGTTTGTTAGGTCCCACCCAAAATGCATCCCTTTACTGTTGGTTAAACCTGTGCAGTATTTTGATTTGCTCCGTCTGCTCTCACCAGGATGTGGTGGTGGCAGCAGCAGTTGTAACTGTACAGGATCACAACGGACCCTGTTGCCGTGGTAATGGCAACACATTTTGCATAAAGGCCTCAGATTTGTTTGCCAGACCGTAAGCCCTAACTCGTCCTCCCTGATTTCTGCAGCAGTGACTCCCCTCGGCACAACACGGGGGAAATCATGATCCCAGGTTTTAATTGTTAGTACATATATGTATTTTTTAAAGATCCCATAGATGCAGGAAGAAGTCCAGAAACCTAGAAAGTAGTTTGCATTTCACCACTACTGGTCCCCTTTCTTTAGTTATATGCCTTAAAATATATCTGTAGTCAACACAAACTTAAAGGTCCCCTATTATACAGTTTTTCATTACTTTATTATAGGTCTCAGATATACACAAAATATGTCTCTGAAGTGTTTGACCTCAAAATACCAAACAGGTCATGCATTGCAGCATTACCCATAATCCCCTCTGTTTCAGCCCTGTTTCAAAAGTGCTGATTCTCTGTCTTACTTTAGATGAAAATAAGGAGCCACTCCCAACGCCCCTCTGAGAGATATTTGGTAACACAATGGTGCTCTAGGAGGAGATTCAGGTGATAAGGTGGGGGGGGTTACCTTGGTTGGTGATTGGCTAATGGTTACACAAGCCAAAAAATCGTTATGACATCATAAAGTGGCCAAAATCTGATAAGTTCATTTTCAGACAGGTTTTTATATAAATGGATCAGGACAAAAAGTGAGCGAATCTTTTTTCCTGAAACTTTCAGAATCTCTTTTACACAGAGGGGACACATGTTTATGTATAAAAGACATGAAAAAGTGGATTTTGCATAATAGTTGACCTTTTAGACATGTTCTATTTGTGTTCTGTGACAAAAAATACACGAGTAAACACACCTTACTTGAATATCGAATACTTCTATGTATCAACAGTGGTTGCTAACATCGACTAAATGAGACTACTAAACATCACAATGCGAACATTAGCCGCCTGTAGCTTAGCGGTGGTGACATTAAGGTCAAGTGACCATGATGTTTGTTTGTAGCCTAAAGTTAGCTTTTTACTTCTGGCATTGCATGTACACTTCAAATATGGAGTCAAATATGTATCAAAGACATTTGTTTGCCACAGATGTTATTTTCTGCTATATTACCCAATGGACAAATCCCATTAGCTTTCTGCCTTGCGATGCTAACCTGGGTCGGCCTAGAAAAAATGTGTCATCATTGCCCCACTGAGAACAAATTGAGAAAAAGGTATTGCCATCACTATCTTATATCAGCAATTGGTCCAATTTATCCAAAAACCAACACTTGTACAAGTTCTGGCAGCGCTGCATCCCGTTGGTGTCAGATTTATAAGGCCCAGGTGATGATCTGATTTGCCTCGAGCAGCTTAATGTCCTAACAGGTTTGGTGTTTGAGGAAGGGGGTGTGTCTTCGTTAGAGCCGACACTTGTTTGTTGAAGTTAATCCAAAAGGCGGCTGGGTGTGGTAACAGTTGACTAAGTAATCAATCCCTTTTTACACAGTCCTGTATTAATCCCTGTACCCGATTCGACTCACCGCAGGGTAAGGGCTGAGCAGCTACACTGACTGCATGTGTGCAAAGGTGTGTGGCCAAAGTTTGTTGCAGTCCATCCAACAGTTTGGGCAATTTTGATTTTCTACTCAGATTAGTAGACTAACCCTAACCCTAATCCTTCATCTGCTTTCCAGTCAACTCTCTGGGTTTATATTTGCATGCTGTTCTGTGTGTTATTTGAACTCCATTTCACATCGTCCCTGTAAGAGATTTTCACCCAAGGCCGCAGTTAGATATTTTACATCCTGCTCTGACAGGAAAAGTGACAAAACACACAGAAAGAGGCGAACGGAGGAGTAAAAGTGTGTTTACAGTTCTCATCCAGTTCTCATCCAGTCATCTTAGACAAACATGTATTCTGCCTTAAGGGCACGAAGATGTTATATTGCATTTCCCTTTGCATGTCGTTATTCTAAAAGAAAAAACAAAGATTGGCAGACATTTCACCCTTTTATTCCAATTGAAAGCATTGAACAGCTCACACACATTGATCAGGCATACTTTAAATAAATTATATGAAATCAAAAATAAAAGTATATTTAGCATTGACACATCTCCCACTCATCATGTAAGCACATCTTTAAATGACCACTTAATATATTAACAGATACATTTTCATCAATCACTCAATTTCTTCATTATAAATGGCCTTCAATGAGGAATCAATATCAGCTTATTTAATAGAAATGTACACATAGACACTGTTTTCCTTTTCATTTCAGGCCGTGCTGACTCTCGTGATGTCGGCGAAGATCCACCTTTCGCTGGAAGCCCTTTGAACAAATGTCACACCCAAATGGTTTGAAGCCTGTGTGTTTTCTACTGTGTGTGATCAGGTTGGAGCTTTGGCTGAACGCTTTACCACACACTTGGCATTTGTGGGGTTTTTCACCTATAATAAAACACACAAAAACAACACAGTAAGAAATAATATCCAATATCTTCAATTCATTCAAAATGGTGCTTGTATGAGTTTTCCCTCGAAAATGTTTGCAATAACAACTACGGGTGAAGAATCATGCCATTGTTCAGATTTGTCAAACATTTATTTGCAACAAATGTCACCAGCATAGACCTCCTTTCACAGAGCGCTGCGTGGAAGCAGGAAAACCAGATATGCAAATCAACAGGATATTTGTTTAAGTTTCTTTTTCTGATTTATCAGTAGTTTTATTACTCCTGGAAACAATTCCTGCTTGCTGCACCTGGATAGCAGATAATAACATCCATGAACAGCTTCATATAAGGTCGCCTTTTGTAAAATGACTGTGACCTACCGGTGTGAATGTACGTGTGTTTCTTCATGTCAGACTTCTGGTGGAACCTCTTGCCGCAGTACTGGCAGGGGTACGGCCTCGTGTCCGAGTGGATGAGCAAGTGTGTGGACAGAGTGGAGGAGCGCTTGAAGGTTTTCCCGCACATTTTGCACTCAAAGCTTTTTTCCTGGTCAAAGAAGAAAGTAAAAGCGTTACACAGTTATCAACAAATAAAAAAGATGTGAGAAAAGATCATTTTTCTCCAAGTTTATAGGTCACATTTAGACCAGCATAGACAAGAAGTTCTTAATAGTACAAGAATAAAATGGAAATTTGAACACCAACAATATCTACTCAATAGACCTGTTGGTGGGTCCATTGGTGGGAAAAGGTCAGGTTTTTTATATTGCGTAAAAACTAAACTATGGATTGAGTGAAATCAACTTTTGCTAATGGGAATGTCTTGATTCTTTTTTCATATCATAACCATTTCTTCAGATGTATTAAGTCATGTTTAGTGCCATTAACTTAACAACTTGGGAAAAACCTTTAAAACTCAGAACTAGGTCAGGTAAATGCAAAAGCAGCTTTTTCAAAAGGCACAACCCATCCATTTTACATTTTTAAAGATTTCAACTTTTCTCTTGGAACTGAAATATCTGCTTATTTTAACTTTAATTATGCCCTTCATATGTATTTACATCACTTATACATAATGTATGTGCCGCTATTGTCTACTGGATTTTATTGAATTTGATCCTTTTGTCAATAAACAAGAAGACAAACTTTAATTGAGTAGCCCATTCAATTCAAGAAACTTTTAATATGTCATACAGCTTTGGAGTGTCACCATAGATTTACCTGGGAGTGGACATTCATGTGTTGCTCCAGGCTCACGGCGTGGCCGAAGGTTTTCCTGCAGATGCTGCATCCGAAAGGTCTCGTTCCACTGTGCGACCTCCTGACGTGAACCTCCAGTCCGTGGGGCGTTGAGAACACCTGAAACAGATAACATGGGAGTTGTTGTCTTAACCATTAACATCAACGCAGTCAGCTTCTTACTGGGATTACTTCATTGTTCATTGTTCAGGAGGTTTTTAACGGGAGCCTCATTATCCACACAGGTCATCTCCACTCCAAAACAAACACTGTGATTAAAACAGGTACAAATATTAAAGTAGAGCTGTTCACATAAAAGATCTCTGTTTCTTTAGCAGTTGTTGCTCAGCTTGTTCGTGTGATAACTTCACATCAAGACGTTGAGGAGGTTTTTACTGGGAGCCGAATTAACCGCAGAGGTCTCCACCTCTCTAAAACAACAAGACCAGGTGATAAATAAGTAAACAACGGTAATGATAAAATCATAGTTTTGTTCTAGGTTGTTTTGGCTGTCTCCAACGTTTCCTCAGGTTGTTTCTTTGATAAATTAAGAACCAGCAACCGATTACCATAATCCATCATCCGGCTAAAATATACAATATCTTAAAACAACCAAAATATAAGAAAAGTATCATAAATAAAACAAATACCCAGAGGTGATACACCATCATCACAGAGACCAAATGAAATGGATTGTTATCTTGATTAGTTTCACTTGGTCTAAGTTGTTGAAAACTTTTGGTATAATGTAATGTGATACACACTTCAACAAAGATATTTAACAAATGAAAACTACTGCAGCAATTTTTTTAACTGATGTCAACCTAAACATTTGCGTTTACAGTCATGGAAATTGTACATACAATAATTCCTGTGTAAAAGTAATATGTAAAAAGTATTTGTTTTTTGGAAATTCAATCTAAACGTTTTGGCTCAAGTCAAATGTAATTAAAAATATATTTGAAAAACACATTACAAATTCCTCCAACTCAGTGTAGGTTCTTGGTTAAACATAATTTCAATTTAAGTTGACTTAACTCAAAAAGGTCAATGCACTCTGCTGCGTTTATTTATTTGTTTACCTTTTGGAGCATTTGTTTTTAGAGTGTATTTAGAACAGTCACATATTATAGTACATATGTACAGGTGTGATGCTGACCTACCTTTTCACAGGTGAGACAGTGGAAGGTGTTGGAGGTGGGGGAGTAGTGCGTGCTGCAGTCCAGAGGCTGCTGGGGCTGGGGGCTTCGGCTGATGTGGGACCCGTACAGGCTGCTGGCGTGCTGCAGCACCGTGGGGCTGAAGCTCATCTGCCGAATCTTATAGGAGGGGGGCATCGGCTCCCAGGCGTACGGCGGCTTGTAGTAGGGAGGGAATCCGGCCATGTGAGGCTCTGAGGGAGAACACATACAGAAAATCATCCATCTGAACGAAGGTTTTAAAGTCAAGTCAAAGTCAACTTTATTGTCAATCTTCCAGTTTGTGTGTACAGACAGAGAGATCGAAATACTGTTTCCCACAATCCTGAATATAAAAACAAATGTATATAAAATATGTGTGCAAATATGTATAGATATACACAGTCAAAGACACATTTTGCACACATTAAGACCTAAATAAAAACACAACAATCAATATACAAAATAACAGTCTCAATATTTTGAGAATGTACATTAGTGCAGATTGTCCATCGAATGTGCAAAAATAAATATTAGTGCAAGATTGTCCATATAATGTGCATTATTGCAATATTGTCCATAGCAGCGTAAAAAGTAAAATATTTTTATAAAATCTGAAGGAGATATATGCTTTTGCAGCTCACCGTTGAGGTAGTATGGCTGAGTGGGAGCCACAGGGGGTCTGGTTGGCTCTGGGTGAGCAGGTAAGGGGCTTTCGAGCTTCACCTCCTCCTCAAAGGAGCAGGGGTCTGCAGGGGAAGACTGCTCCTCCGACTGAGGCCTGTCTTCAGAGTCTGTGCTCTGATGAGCCTCAGGTGGGGCATCTGCAAAACCACAATAAATAAAAGATTCAGGAGATTGAAAGGCTTTATTTGTCATAATGCAGAATAACTATAGCATAGTTAATATTATAAGTCTCAGGGTCTTCCAACATTGCAACATAGAAGCTATAGAACATTAAAGAAACATACATAAAATAGTGAATTAGAAAAATATGTACATATAAAATGATAAAGATAAAGCAAAAAGTAAATTAGTGTACAGTAGAATAAATACTGAAAACGATATACTGTTGGATATGTGAAATATATATATCATGTATGTACAATTAACAGTGTTATTGATTCAAATAAAGAAAAACCCTCAAATTGTGCATTTCATAAAACAATAAAACTCTGCAAGTCGTCACAATTTCTTAAATTGGTTAACTTATATTCAGTGTTTTACCATCATTAATAACATATGTAGGATTAGTGCATATCTCTTATATAATCTGCCTTCAAATCGAAATTCATGCAAATATTTCAGACAGCAGCTGCTTCAAAATAACGACTTAAGGCAGTACAAGAAGGCAGTTTTAATTTAATTAACCTAACCGTATTTCCAAATATATTTAGATAATTAAACGTTTTATTGCAGTAGGCTATTACCTGTTTGTAAGGGGGCCTTCGGCTCGTCTTCATATGACCGGTGAACATTAAAGGACGTGCACCTTTTGTTCTTCACCAGAAATGACCGCGGCATGTTGATCCTAAACGATACAAAAACATGTGCGACAAAATTAGGATAAAAACAAAATTCACCATGGAAACCAAACAAGTGAAAGACGTAAAAAGACGTCACTAGCTACATGTTTTTAAATCTAAGATATTCTGAATACAGTTATATTTATAATTTCAGTTACTTTTATATTTAATTTACATGTTTTGTTTATGTTCCCAGTGGGATACTCAGCAGTAATGTCAAGTAGCCTACTATGGTAACTTAAGTGAATATGCGTAGGCTATATCTTTCTTCTTGGTCAACAGAATAAAGTTTAATTAGCAGTTGTTTGATATTCGTACGGCTTAAATTGTTATATTATTTGTTGAAATAGTATTACAAGTTTTACTAACTGTATTTAGAAGTTATTTTACTCACCGTTAACCAAGAAAGTTCCCGCAAAATGGAAATCGGTGTAATAAAAAGTAATGTCCTTCTTCTTCGGTTGTAAAGAAGCTAAGATGAGGGAAATTCGTCGCTAAAATCCTTTACTAAAAAGTCAGCAAAGCAAAGCAGTGTAAAACCATCACACTTGTTGCTCTCCCCTTTTCTCCCCTCCCTGATTTTCAATCAGATAATTTCGCAAGGGGAATCTGACTGTGGTTTCAACCAATGAAAAGGCCAACCTGCAGGTGCGAATTTGCGTAAAAAACACAGGCCTTCTCTGTCACTGAACAGTTAGCACACAAAACACCCAATGCTCCGGGGTAAAAGGAATATTATAAGGTACATGTTTAAAAAATAAAGTCAATAAATACTTTCTTCCAAAGAACCTTTTTGTGCTTTAATTTAAGCTTAATTAGTTTGCCTTTTTGCTGAACTTAGAGAGAAATGTCCCCCAAAAAAAACAACTAAATCACTATTTATAAAAATAAAAGAATAGGAAAAACAGAAACAAGATTTTACCACGAAAATCCGACCAAATATTTCCACCACACACTGTTTGATTTACAGGATTTACTCTGAATCGTACTGTGTGTATGACTGTGTTGTGTGAAGGATTTAAATGATCATATGAGACTGTAGCACCTCCAAAGATACACACACCAAACCAGTCCGTGAGACTGACAACGTTACACTGCTGACTCTGTCTTTATTTGCCAAAGCCTGTCAGTATTCAGACATGACAGATTTCTTAGTTTGATGCTTCAGTGTCACGCATGTAGGTAACATAACTAAAAGATATGTTGATATGATCTAATAAGGCAGTTACAAAATATTAGTAGGTGAGAAAAGTTTTCAGAAATCACTTTATTTCTATTATATATTTATATGTAAATCTTGAAGAGCAAGTGGAAGACTGGATACACATTTTGAGGATGAGGATTTATATAAGGAGGAGGTGCACGTGCGACATCTGGTGGACAGAGTGTCTTGACTCTTGAGACTTGAACTGGTATTAGAGATTTTCTTATATTTATAATATTTGATCTCTAAAATTGTTTTTTTTAAATGTATTTATAAATACATCTTTCCACTCTATCAAACGTAACTTATTAATTCACATACATTTTGTTTCATCCTTTCTGTATGTAATACAAATCATTAAAAAAATAAGAATTTAGCTTATTTTTTCAGATTTAAAATGAATTTATTTGGCTGTTTTTATCATCAGGATGTTATGACACAAAATAGATAATTACAGTTTTATAATATAACTTATCGCAGTTTAGGATAATGAAAAATAATGTTGTAAAATGAAATATATAAGAACATGATACAATACAATTTGTAACCACATTTTCAAGATGTTTGCATCATATTTTGTATACCAGTTACATTCACTCTATACCACCTTCAAACTCACCTCTTCAATCTGGCTTTTAATGTGTGATTGTTGTTGTATTGATTGATTTTAATGTGACTTTAACTATATTTATTTGTTGTTCTTTTCTTTTCACTATCTCTGTAAAGCGACTTTGAGCCCCTGTAAAAGCGCTTACAAAATAAACTATTATTATTATTATTATTATTACTACTCCATCGTCCACAGTACATGCCAGAATTACATTCAGTCAAGGTTTATAGGCTATGTTAATCTTTTGTTACTTATATTTCTACTTTCCCGTTTGATGCTCAACTGTATGAAGATGTACAAGTTCAAGGTTCAAGGTTCAAGGTTCTTTATTGTCAATCTGACATAGCTACAGAGTAATTATGTAGTTGAAAATCTTATGTCACAGGCTTCTCCAACAATGCAACATAATAACATAATAACAATAAGAGCAAGAGCAATACAAAAAGAAAAATAGTTATAAAATAAAGTGATGATGTGGAATAGTGCAGTACAAGTCTATATACAAGTTATTGGAATGATATATATTAGGTATTAGATACATCATACTGAGTAGCAGATGAATGTTTTGAAGTTGTTTCAACAGTTCAATTTTTTAACAACTACTGTTCATCTTCAACAAGAGTCATGGCATACGTAATGGCAATATTAAATACCATTTCTACTTTTATGGCCGAACATTGTTTGTAGATGTATCTACACAAAGTAAAGGCAACAAAGGAATGTTACTATAATTGAGTTAGGCCCACTCTTGAGTTACAGTACATATACGTTACTACAAAATCTAGTAAAAGTAATAGTGTGATTACATGTTATCACTTCTCCCCAATACTGCATACATGCATTTTGTCATTCCTAACTTTATATTTAATTTTCTGGCGTTATTGGGCTTCAATGCTTATCCCACACTACCTACTGTAGACAAAAATGTGCGTGCGCTCTTCACATGTGGGTCAGAGGGTGTTCATTTAAAGATGAGTAATGGCAAAATATAAATATCATTGCTTACTTTTATAGCACAACATTGTTTGTAGTTTCAGTAGCAAATGGCAAACAAGAAATACATGTATTTGAGATAAGATTACTGCAAACACTACGTGTTTGATTACATGTAATTATTTCCAAATACTGCCTACATACATACATAGGCCTACATTTTACAATTCCTAACTACTCGATTTTTAAAAATATTTTCTGGCGTCAATGGGCTTCCATAGTGATCTCACCACTACCTGGTAAAAAAAAAATCTAATATGCGCGTGCGCTCTTCACATGTGGGTCACGCGAAACCGCATTACACACATTTCATCCTTCCACCAATGGGTGAGATGGGAAAAACAATCTTAGCTCTGCAACCTAGCGATTAATGTGTCGGGTTATGGATGCTATTATAATTTAAGATTGACTTAATGTAAGTCAACATATTTTTTAGAGCTATTTTTAAGGTTTAATTAGTTGTAAAAGTCTCTCTTGCGACTTGCGGGGCGCTAATTTATGGGATTAGTTTGTATGCAGCCCGACAGCGGAGGCAGACTGCGGTGGGATGGGCTGTGAGGTGTTCAAGATGGCGGCGCCCTGTGGAGTGCAGCTACTCTAACAGGTAAACAGGTCCAATTATTTATAGCTTATGTGTTTTTCTGACAGTGAATATCAACGCATATGATTTGTTTTACTGTACACGGGGTGTTCGGCTTGCTTTTTGGCCGGCAAAACACGGCTGACAGGCAAGATAAATCCCCGACCGAGAGTGGGTCGCTGCTCCCAGCTAACGTTAGCTCTCGCGCTGGGGCTGACTTGTTTTTGGAGAGACCCAGTGATGGATTTAGTAGACGTTGGTGCTTTGATGTTTAATCGAGGTTATATCTGCGTTTTCTGCGGGGCTTGAATAGGTTATCTGTTCGCAGGAGAACATATATATGCATATTTTTATAATCGGATAAAGTAAACCCAACCCTGCCCATTGTTCTCTGCGAGTTGTTTACGACAAGCAGCCAGTGGTCAGTCCTCCAGAGCAGCGGTGCTCAGACCTGAGCCTGGCCGGGCTCTGAGGCGCTCTGTCCGGGCTTGTCCTCGATCTGTCCCTCTCTCCTTATGCATGTCAGTACGACGTATTATAATGATGGCCTATTTGCTTAATTGTTTGCTCATTATGCATCAGAGTACAAATATTTGTCTTGCAGCATTCTGCACTATACTTATTTTATATTTTGGTTGCAATCCCACTCTAATACACCAGTTTGTACCCCATGCTAATCATTAATATACTGTTGTTAGCATGTGTTCATTCAGTCGTCATTAAGCTTTCCTGCCACCATGGAGACAAAACGGTCCACTAGTTTCATGGTTTGACCTTCTTGACCTCTCTGTCATATTATACTAAACTCACTGTCACCATGTCGCATGTCTGCCTGACATAGCTTTGTATAAGTTATGAAAACACTAACATCTGAGTAGAAGGGCTGTCGCCAGTGTTTCAGAACTACTGAGGTGATGAATTCAATGTCTGAACAGAAACCTTAGATGTTTCTGAAATGTTCTTATGTCAAATTATTTTATTTATTCAGCTTGTTTTCTGTATATTTGATTTCCTAAAGCCAGTTCCTACGTGTTTTTATGGCTGGCATGATTTAAACTGATATATATATATATAGGTTTTTTTTTAAATATTGATAGGATTCTAATATTCAGAGGCATTGAGTTCCATAGTTTTTGGTTATTAAAACTTTCAAATACTGAATTATTGGGATACTTTAGGAACATTTGACAGATTATGGATCTAGCTGAAACATACAATTATTATTTTGAAGGCCTGAATGTAGTGAAGTGTCACTTTACTGAGCGTCGGAATAACAGAGGGAGCCTTTTTTTTTTTTAAGAAGTGAACTTCCCCCAGGAAGCACATTCCCTGAGAAATACCAGAGGCTCTCCTCAAAATCCCTGTGACCATTATAAGGCACTTGCAAGACTATTTTCTTGTTACTGTCAATTAGAAAAATACTTGTTTGCAATACCTCTCTTTTAAAAACATCTTCGTCTCTCAGTGCATCAGTGCTTAATGTCCGTAGACGAAAGCGGCCTTGCAAGAACTTTTGTAAAAATAAGATGTGATCTAAATGAAGATGGATATCTGCTGATCTTAATTAAGTTTGGTATAGAATGAGGGACTGTGGGATTTCCAGGAAGTACAGACCTAACACTGTTTTTTTTTGTTATTTAGCAAGGAGAAATTCAGATGATTCCCACCCACTCACTGTTGTTAATAGTTTGCTTATTATTGACCGGCCCGATGCTGGAGGTTTTTTGTTTTATGATATGAACGAATTAATAGTTTTATTCTTGTGTCAACAACATACCACACATTCTGTTAAGTAAACCCCCCAGCAACTAACAGCACGACATAGATCCCTCTTAAAAAGTATAATTACTTTACATATAATCCCCCACAAATAATGAAGTATGTCGTTTTGTAAGTTTTCTTCTCCTACTAGTTAACTCAATTGCCAGTTTATGAGGTGCTAAGTTAGAATAGGTGCAGTCTTTTGTTTTTCATAAACGTATTTTAAGTGGTGTCAATAAACCTGTATTGTCATGTTGGAGCTTACCGTTTGGGATTCTGTGGCATTGCACTGCGTTTTTAACCACGACGGGTTTCTATTATTTTGGCCACCATGTTTATGTTCTATATCACGGTAGACTAAATGTTTGATAGAAACACGCCCCAGAATTATGCATTACTGTTACCATAAAATGCATGTTTTAGCTAATCGA